GCTATTTAATTACCGGGTTATCCAACATGCCTGGCTTGTATTGCAATTGTCCCTCATACAATACCAAGTATATACAAGTATTGTCCTCTCACCATATCAACACAGGCTTGTGTATTGGTTGTGAAATTGACCATTTAGTACGCGATTGTGATGATGCAAATGGTCCACTTTGAACGCAGTATAACTTGATCAATAGCAGTTATTTCCCAGCCATATTTAAACTGATTGTGTATATAGTATATCACCATTGATTGAGCATGCATATGCACGGTTTGCAGACATTTATAATTCGTGTCGAATGTGTTGTATGTGACCATTTGAAACTCGACTAATTGTGGAGTATTTTGACATGTATTTTGACATGTATATTGACTGATGTTTAGTGTCTGTTCATGTGTCATTGATGCACCATTGATGTGCCATTGATGTGCCATTGATTGAGTATGGTCGCTAAACTAGTCAAACACTCGTCAAAAAACAGGTTGAAATGCAGGTCAAATACTCGTCAAACAACAGTCAAATACAAGTCAGAATACTAGTTAAAATGCAGGCCAAACAACTGGTCAATATATGGTTTAAACAATCGTCAAATACTGGTCAGAATAACAGTCTAAATACTAGTTGAAATGCAGGTCAAACAGCCAGTCAATTAAACTATACAATGCATTTGATATTCATACATTACACAGTCAATCGTTAGTGAATATGCCAGTCATCGATATGTATTGTAGTCAAATGAATGTATCGGCCATTGTAACATGAATATATGATGTGTATACAGTCCAAACTACAGTGTAGTATCGTGTGTTTTGAGTGTGTTCCAGTTGCGTCCAATTCAGTCGGCAGTCGTGATTATAACATGTTTCCAATTTAGTTGACGATATGGCCTGATGCATGTCCAGTATATAGTATGCATGTATGCTTATGTTCAGTGTCAATCGCATGCATGTAGTGTCACTATTGGTCAAAATATATCCAATCTTGGTATCATGTCAAATACTAGTGGTAAGTATAAATTGTATATTTTTTTGTAATTTCATGACAATACATGCATGCATCATACATACCAATGCAATATCCATATACTGTAGCAGTTTCATGCAACTAGTGTCAGTATTGGTCAAGATATTCGACATCAAACACGCCAAAACGACACCTTCGGACATGCATTTGATGGTCATGATACACATTGATATATTGCACCAATGACGACGTAATCATATACACAATACATGACTATATGTGTGCCATACATTGCAGTTGATTTCGACACTGTACGACCACTGTAGACCGAGTTATTGACACGCCAAACATCGACTATAATATCCAACCTACAAAACGTCAGCTATTCAATTACTGTGTTATCAAACATGCATGGATTGTATTGAAATTACACATGATACAATACCAAGTATATACAAGTATTGTCATGTCACCATATCAACACAGGCTTGAGTATTGGTTGTGAAATCGACCATTTAGTACGCGATTGTGATGATGCAAATGGTCCACTTTGAACGCATATAACTTGGCCAATAGCAGTTATTTCCCAGCCATATTTAAACTGATTGTGTATATGGTATATCACCATTGATTGAGCATGCATATGCACGGTTTGCAGACATTTATAATTCGTGTTGAGTGTGTTTCAATTGCATCCAATTCAGTCGGCAGTCGTGATTATGACATGTTTCCAATTTAGTTGACGATATGGCCTGATGCATGTCCAGTATATAGTATGCATGTATACTCATGTTCAGTGTCAATCGCATGCATGTAGTGTCACTAATGGTCAAGATATATCCAATCTTGGTATCATGTCAAATACTAGTGGTAAGTATAAATTGTATATTTTTTTGCAATTTCATGACAATACATGCATGCATCGTACATACCAATGCAATATCCATATACTGTAGCAGTTTCATGCAACTAGTGTCACTATTGGTCAAGATATTCGACATCAAACACGCCAAAACGACACCTTCGGACATGCATTTGATGGTCATGATACACATTGATATATTGCACCAATGACGACGTAATCATATACACAATACATGACTATATGTGTGCCATACATTGCAGTTGATTTCGACATTGTACGACCACTGTAGACCGAGTTATTGACACGTCAAACATCGACTATAATATCCAACCTACAAAACGTCAGCTATTCAATTACTGTGTTATCAAACATGCATGGATTGCATTGAAATTGTACATGATACAATACCAAGTATATACAAGTATTGTCATGTCACCATATTGACACAGGCTTGTGTATTGGTTGTGAAATCGACCATTTAGTACGCGATTGTAATGATGCAAATGATCCACTTTGAACGCATATAACTTGGCCAATACCAGTTATTTCCCAACCATATTTAAACTGGTTGTGTATATGGTATATCACCATTGATTGAGCATGCATATGCACGGTTTGCAGACATTTATAATTCGTGTTGAGTGTGTTTCAGTTGCATCCAATTCAGTCGGCAGTCGTGATTATAACATGTTTCCAATTTAGTTGACGATATGGCCTGATGCATGTCCAGTATATAGTATGCATGTATACTCATGTT